TCAGCTCTTTCCTGACTTGCCTTCTTGGTAGCATTGGGCACTCTGGATGTTTCCTTTGTGATCCTGTCCTTCCTTTGCTTTCCTGACCCCCTCCATTTCCCTAGCTTTCCTTCTGCTTATGAGACAGCTCCCTCATGCTGTTTGCAGACTCTTCTATACGTCATAATTTAAAGTCTGGAAAATGCTGGAATTCTTCAGGGTTCCCGAATAATACTGTATTTTCTTCCTGAGGAATTTACCTGTTAAATTCCACTTTTTAACCTGGTGTCACCTACATGTTTTTCCCAACTCGGATGAATTTTCTGGTCATCAAACTCTATTTCTGCATTCCATTTATCTTCTCAGTAAATACTTGCTGGTCTCACTATGTGGTAAAATACTGTTTTAGAGATGGAGACTCAGAAGGGAACAAAGTCTTTGTTTTTTGTACAACTTTTAATAAACAGTAACACACACACACATAACACATTTTATCAATTGCTGAAAAGTGCTGTGGAAAAAAAATAAAGCAAGCAGGAGCATTCTGAGATATGGATGGAAAGTTTTGTTCCTTCAAGAATGATCAGTAAATTCTCTCTAATCAGATGATGTTTAAGTGAACGAAGAGAGGGAGGCAGTGAGCCAAGCATGTCTCTGGAGGAAGAGCTCAGTTGTCAGAAAGAGAGTAAATGTCATTACCATCATTCTCCATAATCCGCAGGTAAGGTGAGTAAGAAATTCCAGATGATGAGTCTTCCACTGTGGGATCTGAAGTGGATAATTAAGGGAAGGAGTGACTGGTGCCATTTTTATATTCTCCCTTCTTGCCCTCACACTCAACAAATGAAGTCCTTTTCTTGCTTAATGTAGTTGAATCATACAGGTGGGCTGGGGCAAATTGAAATGGTCCCTGTAAATTGCTGGCTATCCCAGAAGTCACTGGCAGCAATTATCTTCCCCCGCAAAGCACTCCTCCACCCAAGTCCTCAGTGTCAGTGACAGGCACCAGGAGCCACCCTGTTGCCCAAACCAGAAACATGTGCAACTCTCTCCCTCATCCCCTTTATATGATTCATCATCAAGTCCGATCGGTGGCATCTTCTCTCACACCTGTATCTTTTGTTCAACCTCTGCTGTTTCTCCCTAAACCCAGTACCTTTCATCTTACATCTGAGTGTCTCCTCTGTTTTCCTCTTCTTTTGTCAGCCATCTCTCCACTCTAACGATTACCTGTGGGGCAGCAAGAGGAGCTTTTAATATCTCCAAACAAATACAGTCTTGGAGTTTTTAGTGGTTCCTCATTGCCTCATTACCATCACTGCACTATGTTGTAGTCAGACATATTTTGAGTTCTTCAAAGGAAGTATCTCCTTTTTAACACGTGTATGTTGTGCTGTCCCATCTGCACACTTTCCTTGCTGCTTGTTCACTTGTTTTTGAGTTCAGTCTCATTATGTAGCCCTGGATGGCCTGGAGCTTCGTCTGTAGAGTAGGCTGGCCTCAAGCAATCCTTTTTCTCCTGCCTCTCCAGTGCCTCTGCAGACTACAGGCCTGTACCACCATGTCCAGCTCCATTTGCACAGTTTACTCTTGAACCTGTTGTCTCCTTCTTCCCATTTACTTGAACTATTAGCCTTACTCACACGTTGGGCCTTAACTTATGTGTTAGTCTTTTTTTGAGTTTCTTTAACAAAATAACTGCAGTTAACTTGATAAAGCAGAGAAGCTTTTTGGGGGGTCACAGTTCTAGTGTCTTGGAACTCCAGACAGCATGCTGCTTCACAACACAGTGAGGAAATGGAAAGAGAGCCGGCCATGTGGAGAATGCAACAAACGCAGGTGCTGTCCTCAGGGTGTGACCACCCTTTCTCATGAGAGCTAGCCCTGGTCTTGTGAGAACTACATTTATTTCTTTTGATGCCTCCAACAGCTTTATTACCTCCTATCTGCTCTTTTAAAACCTACTGTGGTGGCTTGAATGAGAGTGTCCCCCATAGGCTCCAAGTATTTAGACATTTTGTCCCCAGTTGGTGGTTCTGTTTTGGGAAGTTTTAGGAGGTGGGCCTTGCTGGAGGGAGTGTGGTACTGGGGTCAGGCTTTGAGAATTCTTAAGCCTTGCAGGATTTCCAGTAACCCTCTGCTTCCTGTGCCTGCTTGAAGGTGTGAGAGCTTAACTTTCTGCTACTGCCCAGGCTACCTCACCATGCCCGGTGTCACTCCCCTCCCCCATGAGGGATTCTGATCCCTCTGTTACCTGCACTGTAAGCTCAAATAAACTCTTCTTCTTATAATTTCCCTTAGTCATGGTGTTTTTGTCTCAGCAACATAAAAGTAATCTGGTATACCTACCATCCCTCACTACTGCCACACCAGACCAAGCCTTCAGTATACGAACCTGTGGGGGGTTAACCACATGCAGACTGTATTAGTCACTTTTCTGTTGCTGTGATAGAAACACTGACCAAAGCAATTTATAGAAGGAAGAGTTTATTTGAGCTTATGGTTCCAGAAGAATTACAGTCTGTCATGGCAAGGAGGCATGGTGACTGGAGGTGGCTGGAGCAGGAGCAGCTGAAGCTAAGCTCTCACATCATCATGCAGGCACAGGAAGCAAGAGCTCAACTGGAGATCTGGCAAGGCTTAAGAGCTCTCTAAGCCCACCCCAGTGACATGCTTCCTCCAGGACAGCCACGCCTTCTAAAACCTCCCAAAACAGTGCCATCATCTGGGGACAAAATGTCCAAATACTTGGAGCCTATGGGAGACATTTTCATTCAAACCACCACACAGATCATAGCAACTTGGATATCAATTCTCCCAGAAAACTTCTGACTTTGGTTAAATGCCACTTACAGATGCCCTCAGCCTTCCTCTGGGCATTGTTCCTATCACTGGGCTGCTACCCTTCGTTGACTTGCCAATATCCTGACTACAGTGTCTAGTTTCTGGAAGCGGGGGTTTTGTGAGTCTGTTTTCTCTGGCTTGTAGCATTGGGTGGATATTCAATGGTTATTTATTGGATGAATGAATAGGCAGATGAAGTGGCACTTGAGCAAAATTAAAAGATGAATAGGTGTTCCCTAGACAAAAGCGCAGTGATAACATTCCAGGTGGAGAGCACAGTTTGAATTAAAACACAGAGGTGGAATTGAGGTTGCAGTTTTTTTTTATCTGTGGGAAAAATGTTTTATTTACAAATTATTTATTAGATATAAAAAAGACAGGTGAGAAACATCTTGGTAAATAGGGGGATGCGATGAGTGATTTGGTGTTTCTGGGATGTGTATGAATATGGAATTAAGAAAAGGCTTGAGAGGTAGTTCTGAGACACAGGGATGACATGGGTGACTTATAGTTCAGGCTGAGATTTAAGGTTGACCTTGAAGGCAAGGAGGAGCTAACAAGGTCTTCTTCTAGATATTTAATTCAAACAGTTCTGTGAAGAATGATTTCGAGGGCAACAACAGTGGAGACTAGGAAGAAAAGTTACGCGGCTGCCTCATTTTTTCTTGGCTCTGCCTTACAGCAGGGTATTTCTTCATCCCAAACTCCATTATTCATTTTATGATGGCCAGAATTCAAAAATGGCCCCCATGACCTCTGCTCTCTAGTGTTACTCTGTGGTCACATGTTACATGGCAGAAGAGATTTGTAGTTGAAATGAAGGTTATTAATCTGTTTAAAAAGGGGATTATCTGGGTTGGACTGACTTGCTCATGCTATCTCTTTAAAAGCAGACTTTATTCAGGTTGGTTAGAGAAGTTAGAGAAAATGGAAGCATGAGGGATCATTGTGAATGAAATAGTCTATGGTTCATGTTGATGATGGAAGGGCTCTGATGGAAAAGGACTGAGTGTGGTCTCTAAGAGCTGAGAGAGGTTGTGATGGTGATAGCCAGCAAAGAAACAGAACCTTCAGTCCTACAACCACAAGGTGTCGAACTCCCATGATAACCATAGGAACATGGAAGCAGCTTACTGCTTGGAGTCCTAGACATGAACTCAGTCAGCACCATGATATCCTGATCCCTACCTTGTGAGACCCTGAGAGGAGAACTGAGTTGTGTTTGTAGCACCCTAGACTTCTGATGAGAACTGTAAGTTGATCAATGTGTCTTGTTTGTAGAACTTAACTCCAGGGAAATTTGTTACGGAGCAACAACAAACAACAGAATAATACGAGGGGACTGGGGAGACGGTTCAGTCAGTACAGGGCTTGCCACGTAAGCATGAGGACCTGAGTTCCTTCCCCAGCACCCATGTAAAAACCTGGGTGGAGCAATGTACACCTGTAATCAATCCCAGTGCTGGGGAGCTAGAGGCAGGAGGATCCCCTGGAGCAGGCTAGCTAGCCAGTCTAGCCAGTAGGCCAGCTTCCAGGTTTAATAAGAGACATTATCTCAAAGAGTGACTACAGACGACACCAGTTAAACACTAGCCTCTATATGCAGAGGCACACATGTGCATTCAATACACATATACATAAAAATGACCAAAGCAAATTTCAGCAAGATAACATTTCATTCATGAAAGGATGTCTAACCATATCTTCTTTTACTTTAGGAACAACATTTTTATACTGAATCATAATAAAAGGACACCTAGCTCTGGGGCGTCACAAAGGAACAAAGACTATCCCAAACACTTGGCAATTGGTATCATTTCTTGTCGCCCACAGCTAACTCATGTGAGAGGTGCTATAGATAGATTATCTTCAGGTTAGAGATAAAAAGCCAAGGAACCTGACTAAAGTCACATCAGTAGCAACTGACAGAGCTGGGACTTAATCACAGTCTGTCTTACTCTGCTGTATAGACTGACGAGTCAGAAGATCCAGTGATTCCATTAGTGCAGCATTTAGCATTTCTCTGAGAAGGGTTTAATGGACTTATTAACCCTAGGAATGGACAGTAGAAAAAAATTCCAGGTTAAAGTTGTGTCCCATTTCTCTTTGGGACAGATTAGAAAATCATTTTTGGTATGGTATCAATTTACCCTTGTTTGTGTTTTCTTGTTGCCTAGACAAGAAGGAAGACGAAAATGAAAAGTAATTGGAGGGAAATGGTAAGAACTAATAAAAAAAAATGGGCTTGATGTGGGTTTAAAAGCAGAGGTTTAGTCACAGATGTATCCAATTTGGCAAGGCCCTGTTTCATGTCCATTCAGGCACAGGCAGGTGTCCTTTTTTTTTTCACGTGTTATAGAAAGCTTGAGGCTGTCTACCTTGTGCCAAGAAAAAAAAGCAATTAAGTATTTTAATATTTCCTGCCTATAAACTGGTCCCTGTTTTATTACTTCAAATGCTCTGGATTTAAAAGGAGGTGTGAAAGACTCCTGAGCCATTAATAAAAGGCTGCAGCTGCTCCAGGAGAGAAGCGACAGGGTTTTTCAAAGGAGTGTTTTGGGTCTGAACACCTCGTCCACAGACTATTGATTTATGATCACCCTAGAACTGATGTAGAAGGACGAGGCAGACACTTTCAGGGCTTCTGGAATCTGTTTGGGTGGAATACAGATGAGGAGCTTTTTTCCTTGGGGAAAGTAATAGAGAAATAAAGGGAGGAAGTATGGGAGGCAGTGGTTCGGGGTTGTGGTGCACATCGACCCACACAAAGCAAACCTCTCCCCACAGCAAGCCAGAGTCGGTGGCAAGTTTCTGAGCCTGTGGTGTGTTTGTGAGATTTCTGCTTTGAATGGGCAGGGTGAACTGTAAGGACTTAGTGATTTATTTGAGTCTCCAAGAGCTTTGAACAGAGACAGACCTTGAAATTAAAAGATAAAATCAAGATGTGATTCTTTTTTTCCCCTTATGATCAACTAAAAATCACCTAAATGTTTTTTCTCAAAGTCATTAAACTTTATTTAAAAATAAAAAAAAAAAGTTCATTTCTCCTCTGCAGCAGTGGGATGTGACCGAAGTCAAAGGACAAGGCCCGTGAGACATTCGTTTCAGCCCTGTGAAACTCTGCCGATGCAGCACACACAACTCGTACTCGGGTCTGGGAAGACCAAGAGGAAGGCACAGCAGATGTCCTTTGTCTCCTGTGGTGGGGGACCTCCTGTTTGGGCATGCTGAAATCATTCTGAACATTCTGGAAGAGGTTTCTTAAGCTTTCCTCATTCTTCTTTTTTAATATTTTATTTATTATTTTAATCTTATGTGTATGAGTGTATTGCCTGCATATATGTGAGTGCACCCATGTCGTGCAATGCCACGGAGGTCAGAAGAGGGCTTCAGATTCCCCTGAAACTGGAGTTAAGGACGGTTCACAGCTGCCATGTGGGTGCTAGGAATCGAACCCGGTCCTCTGTAAGAGCAGTCAGTGCTCTTAACTACTGGGCCATCTCTCCAGTCCCAGCTTTCCTCGTTCTTATGCCATCTTTCCCATAAGTTCTGTGAATCATCTTATCTTCTCAATTAAAAAATCGTTTAGCCCACAGTTTACTTAAATTTAGCCTTATCTTAAGCAACAGTGTCTGTGAAGCCACAGGTTTACTGTGATAGTTGGACTGTTGAAATGCACCTTCAAATAAATACAGTTTAACAATATCTCTCTTCAAAACCATCAGAGCTAGATGTATTTTTGAAATTTAGACTTTTTTCAGGTTTACAAAGGTAATAAATACATGTACAGTATAATGGGCACCATCTAGAACCAAAAGATTAACAGACATCTGATATTTTTACTCAGTAGAATGTTGAATAAGGATGTCAAAATAATATCCTAGCAGGTGGACAATTTTTGGTTTTTGGAGCTTTTTGAATTTCATAACAGCAAATAAGGAGCTGTGAGTTTTTAAGTACTATTTTAAAAAGCACTGTGGAAAATGGAGTTGTCAGTAACAAGTAGTGTGTGATTCATTTTGCCTTTCAGACATACTGCTGGGTTGAAAATAAAAAAAAATGTTTCTATTTAAGTATACATATACATTTAATAAAGACATTAAAGAACAAGCACCCAGCCCAATGACTTTATGCCCATACATCTAAATCTCTCTCTATATCACACACACACACACACACACACACACCCAGCACACACAGGAGCCTCCTTTAGCCTCTTCCTAGTCAACACCTCATAGAGCCCCACAACCTGACCATCAGTTTTACGTTCTATGAGTGAGAACTTGCCTTTTTGTTTAGCATAGCATCTGTGAGATTCTCCAAAGTTACTCTGTATATCACTAGTCTGTTCTTTGTTAGTGTTGTGTACTATTCCTGTTTAACTATTATCACATGTAAATAATTAATACTTCCTGGGTAGAAGGGTTTTCTTTCTCTTCAAAGGACAAACAATCACATATAGAAAACTTTCTTCAGGAAATTTGAGAGCAGCTGGTAGTGCTCACTGAAACTGCAGCCCTTTCAGCCGATGCAGAAAACATAGCTCCCGTTGGGGTGCTAAATATAAGTACTGGTTAGATTCATTTCCCTTCTTGTTTCTACCACTTTGGTGAATAGATGCAAGCTGCTAGTTTCATCAAATAAAAGAGACAGATTCTGAAGAAACATTTTGATTTAATTTTTGGATAGTGTAAAATTTTAGAACAGGAAATTAAAAGCCTACATAGCTACCCAGCTAGATGGTGATAAGACATGAAAGAGGCTTTCAAATGAATTTTATACTAAATTTGGGATGTGTTTGGGCCAGCTGTGTGTGGAATGGAGCAAGCAGAGATGAGCTGGGTGCAATCACAGACAGCTTTCCACTTCCCCTTGACTTCCTTCACAGCCTGGCTTCATTTAAAACATGTGAGTTAGTGTGAATTACTGCAACACGAGATGTCTCACTGTCCAAACACAAAAGTACATGCCAGAGGCAAATAGAATTGTCGGATTTGCTACTTGAGACTGAAATGCAGAATTGAGAGTTGAATCACCCAAGACAAGTTGCAAATTAGTTTTCTAGAAGTTTTATAAAGGCTGTGCTGTCCTTGAGTAAAAACTCTGCAATGGTTGTAGAAATTCTCACTTTCTCACTCATCTTAAAAGAAAAAAAAAAGAATCAAAGGGTCTAAAAACTGTCAGAGCTGGGTGTAGTGGTAGAAACCTGTAATCCCAGGTAGAGGGGACGATTGCAAATTCAAGGCCAGGCTGGGATACACAGCGAGTTTGGGTCCAGACTGAGCTACATAGTGAGACCTGTCTCACAATGAAAGGAAAGGAAAACAGATATCCAGATATCTTTTAATTTAAAAAATTTCACTTTTTGAGAATTTCATACATGAGTACACTTTGTGTGCACCATTTCACCCTTCCTTTCCCCCTCCAACTCTTTCCATGTTTCCCTACATCCTCCTCTCAAATTCATGACCTTTTCTTCTGTAATTATAGAATATATATAACCTACTGAGTCCAGTTAGTGTTGCGCATATTTGCATGGATTCAGGGCTGACTGTTTAGGCCTGGGCTACATATCAGGGTGTTTGTCCCTGAAGAAAACTGATTCGTCCCCTCAGTAGTCATTGACTGTAGGTAGATTTGCAACTGTGGGTGAGGTTTTGTGAATCCCCTCCACCCCCATTCATGTTGGCATGTGACTGGTGTGGTCCTGTGCAAGCAGCCACATTGTTGAAAGTTCAACATATTGTTGATAGTACGACATCCGTGTCCTGTTCAGAAGACACTATCTAACAGTAATCCTTGTGGTCCTCTAGCTCTTATAATCTTTCTGCCCCCTCATCCATGTATCTCTCAGAGTCATAAGGACTGTGTTAAAGGTTTCCCATTTGGGGCTGAGCACCCCATGGTCAATTGTTCGCTGCATTTTGACCAGTTGTAATCCCAAGAAATCTTTTACAAGTATCCAACTTACATTATCTCTGAAAGGTAAAGTAACAAAACAACATGTAAGTTCTGGGCTCAGAAACATTTGGGCTTCAAATTTCAGCTCTTTCATTGTCTAGCTGTGCATCTTACTTGAGAATATTAACATCTCTGATTTTTTTTTTTTTTTTTTTTTTTGCCTTTTTGAGACAGGGTCTTCCTGTAGTCCCAGCTGACCTGAACTCACTATGTAGACCAGGCTGGCCTTGAACTCACAGAGATCCGCCTGCCTCTGCCTCCCAAGTGCTGGGACTAAAGGCGAACACCACCACACCTGACTACCTCTCGGATTCTTAACTTTGACTGCATTTGGATTGTCTTTCCAAGCAAAATTGTTATAAATGAGCCATCTGGGGAAGGGCTATAGTAGAGAATTGAAAAATGAAAAATAAATATTATATATCTTGTTGCTTCTCATTTCAAAATCAAAGTGTAACTTTCAGTAGGTGGCTATTTGGGGAATGAGGTGTATTGGGGGAACCATAACTTTCTCTGGGTCTTTCTTTGACTAGAAGTTGCCAGAGCATTTTCAGTTTTACTTGGTGGGCGTGATTTTCCCAAGAACTTAACAAAGTACCAACTGAGCTAGCCATATGGCTGTGTTTATAAAGAAGTAATTGCCTGAAAGGTTAAGACAAGAGAAACTCAAGTGTTCATTGCATGTAATTAAAAGCTAGTGTCTTCATGGATAACTGCTTTCTGGAAAAGACCAATCAAGCCACTTAAAACCATTCACAAAAATTGCCTGCCACTGAGGGCAATAATGCTGGAAAAATAGCTATGCTTAATTTATTTGATTACACCTGGTTTTATAGACTAATGATTACTCTAGGTTCAAATCTGGGGTCAGCATTTGCCCCCCAGTAAGTTTTTTTCTTTTCCCATCTTTCTTTAGTTTTTCTTTTTGTTTTTTTTTTTTCATGAGACAGGGACTTCCTATGTAGCCCAGCTCAGGTTGGTCTGGAACTTTCTATATAGCTCAGGCTACTCCTGCCTGCCCCACCCCCATCTTTTCCTATATTCCTGTGTACAGATCTAAGAAGTTATCTCATTTTCCTGTGTCTCTGAAAAAAGTCGTAAACTCCAAGTAAAACTGAAAATGTGCTGTTAAGTGTGGAGGCCTCAAAAATATGTCACTGGGTCAGAAACAAAATGGGCTTGACTTGAGTCTTGGTTAAGAACTGCTGTGGCCTGAGAGACTCAGATAATAAAATGCCAACTGGATTTTAAAAACAAACATTCCATAACATGTGCTTATTTGTTCTGATACCCAGGATTTTTTTTTAAAGATTAAAAATCCAGGAATTTAAGAAAAATTCTGAAAGATAGGGGCTGTGGCTTGGACTTTAGTAACTCTTTTTACCTCCTGGACATTCATTTGATAATTTTTAATGTCAATTTTTTATTCCTCCACTGGCAAACTACTTTATGATAAACTCCACAATTATTTGCTGATAAATTAAAATATATTGGTGATTTCTATAGTCCTAGTAATTGAGAAGCTGAGGCAGGAAGATTACTATGATTTTGAGGCCAGCCTGGGTTATACAGCAAGTAATAGGCTAGCCTGGGTTACGTAGCAAGATTCTGTCTCAAACAACATAATCGAACACAAAGTAACACTAAACAACAACGAATGTGTGTGTGTGTGTGTGTGTGTGTGTGTGTGTGTGTGTGGCTTCTCAATACTTCATGCATGAAGATGAATGTGATTATATTCTCTCTCCTTTTCCTCTGATTCGTGGTGCTGGGGATCAAAGCCAGGGCTTGTGACTACAAGGCAAGCACTCTACCACAGAACTATACTTTAGCTCAATTTCCCTCTATTGATGGTTCTCACCTTTCTGCACTTGGATCCCTTAAAACATTTTGTATCATAGAAAAAAAAAATCTACATTCAAAAGCAGTTCTTGGGAAGAAGCCATGACCTCACTGCTCAGTTTTAAATGTACACAGATGATGTCTCTTTAGAGATGTTGAAATACCAGAGTAAATTTGTTTTACCAAGGGAATGTTTTCTTTACCTTTTAAAGACATATTACACTATTCTTTTGGGTAATGGAAGAGTGAGTTGGATCTGGGGCTTTTTATGACCGAATTAAGTAACTGGGAACCTCCTTGCTAACAATGAAAGTGAGATTCCCTTTCACAGAAGACTGATCTATTGATGGTTGGTAATTCCAGTCTAGCTGATCCAACAGGTTTTTTACTTCTTAGAGCTTTGAACACTGTGAGTCAGAGGGAGAGGAAGAGAGGAGGACAT